GCAGAGGAACAGCTTCATAGACCATTTTAGAACATAAACCATATTCAGACTTCCTTCAGGTTCTGCAGAATCAACCAAAGGAGGTCCCTGTATGGGAGGGATGGATGGGCCATATATTCATCCTTATCCAAACTTGAAATGGAGTTGATTAGCAGGAAACAGTAACTGCAGCTTCCGGAATGAAGCCAAAGGTTTGTGTCCTATGTAGAATTATACCACCTGCATTTAAGAGACGAATGCTGCCCCATTTTACACTTCAGTTGGACACAAGAGTGAAAGTATGATTAAGCATCTGATCATTGCTAATAAAATCGGTGATGCCACATATGACTAAAAAAGTGCTAAAAGTTTTTCTACATGTGCAGACTGCAAGAGCACTGACTTCCTGAACAGAAATAAACCTACATATTTGGCTCTTTATAAATCTAAAATTCAGTCACTTTGGTTTTTCCTATATAACCGAAAATGTGGATGTTCTTTAAATCATAGTTTTGTGCTGGCTTCTAGACTTTAATGATAAATAGGAGGCAGAAGACTGCAACAGACAGCTTAGAAACAAGTATCATGGTTTCAGCACGTGTTAAGGTAAGATCTCACGAGTTGCAGAAGGTTCCTGTGGTTGGCCAAGTCCTTGAGGTGTGCTGGCTCAGTGTGGTGCAAATCTGCCTTGGTAAGAAGTGTAAAATACACTCCATGAACCTTCTCTAGCCAAAATTTTAGCACTGATATTTAAGCAAGAGTTGAGAGAATGACTTTTTATTTTTTTTAAAGCGTCATTGCTATGAAGAGTCAGATCACTCCTGTGCAGGCAAGGAGAGGCACCCTGAAGTGGCCAGCAGTGGAGGCCATAGAATTTGGGGGTGGGCAGGGGGGAACACTCTTATGCCCACACTTGGACAGGAAGGCAGAAGACCCCGGTGTCACTTAGTGTGGGAGCAGAGGGGCAGGCTGGTGCAGCCCCATGCCACCTGCACCATGCTCTTTGGACATGAACTGTCCACAGACAGACAATGTCTGTGAGCTGCCACATGCCAGTAGGTGTTCCAGGCTATCCTTGAAGCCTCCCAGGACTGGGATGGCATCAGCTCTTTGCTGAAACCGTAATAGTTTGGATAAGATGTCACCAGAGCAGTACAATAGCAGTGCCAAGACCCAGCAGGCTGCTTTGCCTGGAGCCCAGGGGAAGCTGCCCTGTGCTGGCTGTGTCCCTGGTAATGTTGGCCATGTGGCTCTCTTGCAGCCTTATGGGCTGTGGGGCTGCTGCCACAGGCTCTGTGTGAAGGAGCCTATCGTGCAGGAGCTGTGATTTGTCATGCATGTGCTGTGCAAAGCAAACCTACCATTTCAAGTTGGGCCTGAAGCTGTGTGTTGGAAATAACCCAGTCTCCATCCCCGTGGATGCACCAAGCTGAACTTTGCTCTAAATTAAATTCCATGGATAAGATTGTACATAGTGAAGATTTTACTTCATCATCCTCTCAGAATAGCACACCTGAGGAACAAAACAGATCCAAATTATGAATCCCAACATTCTGACAGCATGATAAAGATGACTGCTCCCTTCAGGAGCATGGCAGCAGAGCAGCACAATGCCTGGCTGTCTCAGTGTTTTACCTCATTGTCACAGGTGAACATGGTCTTGTGTCTCTTGCATCCTCTTTCTCCTCTGTAGGGTTCCCAGGACAGATGTGGTGAGATTTGAAAGGCATATTCCCTGCAGAAGAAGTGGGAATGCCTGCATCCCTCCTGCCCAAAAGGAGCTGCAGGATGCTTGGGACCCATATGCCCAGTTATCCTGGACTGTCCCTCGGCAGCTGACACAGGGTGACTCAGGGAAGGTCTTGGGAGTGCTGATGGTCTAGCAGGCATCCAAGGCACTGGGAGAGCAGGGTATAATTTGGGAAGACAGAAAATATCCTTCTTCTACTGCTACAAGGGCAAGGATGGATTGGCAAGCAGAGAAGGAGGCACCAAGCTGTCCTGTCGGGCTTGTAAGCGTGCAGTGATGCTCACATTAACTCCTTCCATGGAGATCTTCACAATATGTAACTCAAGGTCTCCCTAGGTTTGATTAGAAACAGACACCCCAAACTTTGCACTGAAACTTTGAGGCCATCTCCAGTTACAGGAAGTCTGGGCATATCCATATGCAGATGTATGCAATTTGTTTCACTTCAGCAGCTAGCGTGACTGTTTCGAGGTCAGGGAGCCTGTTTCTAGGGAATGACAGTTACTTCTTGGGATGCTCAGCTGAGGGTGGGTGCTCACCATGCCCTCCCTGTGCTGCCATCCTGTCCCTCCCATGGAAACAGTTCATCCCTACCAGGGTCCCCAGGGGCTAGAGGTGAAGAAGCCCATGTCTGCTGCAGTGCAGGAGCATGGGAGCAGCGTGGCTGAGCTGCAAGGAGGGCTCTGGGCTGGCAGAGCAGGCACAGGAACACCCACTGTGTGTGCAGCAGGGACAGTCCTTGCTCCTTGGGGCTGATGGTTTGTGACAGAGATAACTTATCACTGCCGAAAGTCCCAGCTCTCAGCTGCAGTTTGAGCTGTGCTGTCAATGAAATTAGAACAGACACAGATCTTCTCTCTCTCTCTCTATGTGTGTGTCTTTGTGCTGATCCTTCCCCAGCTAACTGAGCTTCTGAAGCACATAAAAACCAGCAGAGGAGTTCCCAAGTAAGGCTTCAGGTCTTGTTTTTGGTGCTGCTGGAGCTGCAGGGGTCTTAGGAGTTAGGGAGGCAGCCAACACAAAGCCGTGGGGGAAAAGGTACTGAGCTTCCCAGCATCATAAATAATAAAAGAAAGAGAGAAAGAGAAAAAAACTCCAACCTCTTGGAATACTTTATTTATTACTCTGTCTCTACTGAGTCCCATAGGTGGTAGTCTATTGCTGCAGACTTTCTGGAACTGTTTTATTTTCAGTTGTAAAAATTATAAATATCATGTCCATAGCATATGATTTACCAAGGCTGCGGGGCAGGGCACTCTCCCAGCCCATTTTGGGCAGGTCTGTCCACCTGCATCCCCCAGGAGCAATGGGAGAGGTCAGCCAGTTGGAGAAGGCAGGTTCAAAGAGGAGGCAATGTGTCAGACACTGGCCTAGACACTGGTCCTGGAACCCAGGGAGCATAAGTTTTGGCAAAATGTTCCCAAGAATCAAAGCAAGGAGCGCTGAGATAGACATCAAGCTTTGGTAAATTTTATAGGGAGCTTCTTAAAAGTCTGAAGGAACAATATTAGAGAAAGCAATAAATGTGAAATCACAGTAGGGTGAAAGTGGCAGGTAATTCCATTGCCTTCATCCAAGGTCTGCCTACAAGCCCTCTGTACCACCTGAGCAATTTTCTTCTCAAATCCCTCTCGTACCTCATACCCCAAGGGTTAAATCTGGGCCACCCTTGCTCTCATGCCTGAGGGTGACAGCTACATTTCATCCTCCTGGTTTCATCCCAATCATCTCAGTGCAGTCTTTCAGCTGGGAGAGTGAGAGATGGGCACGGACTTGTACATTGTACACCTTCTCACAACATTTTTCATGGGCTTTTGGCTGTGAAGATGTGACAGAGCTGTTCACAGAAGGGCTAAACTGTAAATATAGTGTGAATTAGCAAAAGGATTTTGTAACAAGAGATGAGTATTGCCAAAGACACAGGCTAAGATGCCTAAGCTGGCATTAATGACCCTGGCTATCACATTGCCTGGGAAAAGCTCCCAGTGGGGACATCACTAAATAGTGGAGCTGTTTCTCAGAAAGACTGATCCTGGCCTGGAAACTTTTAAAAATAGATTAAAGTGAAATTTCAAAAAAAATATGAGACACTTGATGTGCTCTTGGCTTGGTAAGGAGAGTATGCAAAATACCACAGTATCACTCCCCACACATTTAGGAACTGAGCATAGCAGCTCAAGGTTAAAACCTGCAGTAGGGCTACCATGTTTTTGCCCAAAGATCTCAGTCAGAAATGCAGCCAGGTGTGACATTTGGCTGTGCACTATATGCCAGGTGACCAGTCACTCACACAGCTCTCTTTTGTGTCCTGGGTTCAGCCCGCCATGCAGAGCAGCAGTGGCATCAGATGAGGCAGAGCCATGGGTCCCCACCAGGGTCCTGCTGGCCGAGCAGCACACTTGCCAGTGAAGGGGACACCACTGTCACTGGAGACAGGAGGTGTGCAGGAGAGGACACACAGGATGCATATACCCTGTTACAAAGCTCAAAGGTGGTTTTACTGTAGCTCTTAAGCCTTAGAAAGGAAATAGTTCACTGGTTCAGTGGTTGAAATGTCTTCTTCCTGTGCTGCCATACTGCTCTCATATGTCATGTCTCATTAATTATTAATTGTTGAGACCAACCAGGTGGGAACAGCCCCCAGACTGCTGTCACACTCCTCTCATTTCCCTCTGCCCTGCACACAGGGGATGTTGTTCCTGCAGGTGTCTCATACTGTCCTTTTCCATGCCAAAAGCAGTGCAAGTCCTGGCAGAAACCTGGGAGTGACTGGGGGTGCCAGACAGGAGCACCTCTGCTGACACACCACTGCTGCCTGAGGATGCAGGAGCAGAAAACAAACCCCACTGAGCACCACAGGCACCTGCTGTGTACTGGTTTTCTTCTGTGTTATGCAACAGGATAGCACAGATGGGCTGGTGACAGAGGACCTGTATGGTGCAAGGAGCAGATGGATGCCTCTCAGAGACCTTCCCTGTGGCCAGGACCAAGGAATGTAGTGCTCCATGTTCAACCCTGATGTGGCTATTGAGAGGTTGAAGGAGGGCCTTGCCGGGGTGTGTGCACCTGAGTGTGCAGGGCTGATCCTCTAACCTAGGTCTCTGAGAAGGAGCAGGAGCTGAGAGAGCTTGTCCCAACCTCTTCTTGCCCATCTGTGCTGTGCAAAATTGGTCAAAAGATTTATATCTGTTTCCTTTTCTCTCTCCATGCCCCTTACCCCTGGTCAAATCTGCCCTCCTCTTCCCTTCCCTCCCCTCCCCTACCTCCCTAGGTAAGGAAAGCAGTTTGGGAGAGCCTGACTTGCAGCCAAACTCCGACCCTTCAGCAATGGACAGCAGCTACCTCAGCGTGAAGGAATCCGGGGTGAAAGTGCCCCAGGACCGGGCCAGCACAGACCTCCCCAGCCCCATGGACAAGACTGACTCGGAGAGCAACAAGGGCAAAAAGCGGAGGAACCGCACCACCTTCACAAGCTACCAGCTGGAGGAGCTGGAGAAGGTCTTCCAGAAGACCCACTATCCCGATGTCTATGCCAGGGAGCAGCTAGCCATGAGGACAGACCTCACTGAGGCTCGTGTGCAGGTATGGGGGGAAATCCTGGGGCTGGGTGAGGGCTGGATGAGCTGCGAAAAACCTCTGAGGTTCCTTTGCAGCACCACCGTAAGGTGCAGGCAGCCAAGCCCTAATTAGAGCCTGTGGCACAGGGAAAGCACAAGGAGGTACATCCACATCTGGCACTGGTGCCAGCTCCTTTATTTGGTCTGGTGCCCTGCAATCCAGTGTTCACAGAAACACCTCTTGCCCTTGAGCTAATGGGACAGAGGGTGGGTAAGCCTCACCACCACCCTGAACAAAGCTTGCACAAAACCTGCTCTCTTCAGGAGGCTTGCAGAGGACACAGGTTCCTTAATCCAACTGAGAGCAAGCTTTTCCACAGGATGGGCTTTTTCAGGCAGATGGGGCTGCAGAGGTGACTGAGAGCTCAGTACCAGAGAATATGAGGTGATACAAGAGAGGCAGCTCTTGTCACCTGCTTGGCAGGCACTGAGACTGCATGAAAGCTGGAGATCTGGAGGCAAAAGGTGCACCCACCACCTTAGGAGGAGCAGGAGAGTCAAACAGCCATACTCTTTTGACAGACTCAATCACCTCCACCTACACAGGTGCCAGATCTCATGAACTAGCTCCCTCGAACTAACCTGGGGGCCCAGCAAACCCAAAACCCACATCAGAGCAGGGAATGATTCTCTGACTACTGCTCTTTCCTCTGAGTCAAGGTTAAACAGGAGGCCTGTCAGGGCTCAGAACCATGTGCAAAAAGGAGCACACTGCATGGAGTGGACATCCCCAGCTCACACTGTGGTGCCAGCTCCTTCTCCAGCACAGCTAATCCTGTAACTTCCATCTGCATGCATTTGTCAGCTCACCACCTCCAGAACATGCATAAGCATCAAGAATAATTGGCCCATGGAGACACCTGATTCTATCTTTTATACCAGGAATATTCCCAGCTGTCTGGCAGCCTCTGCTTTAACCTTTACAAGTAGTTGTTGCAAATAAGGCCCACATCCCTGCTTAAGTCCATTTTAGTTTGTACATTCACTACTGGATTCAGCCAGAAGCAAGAATTTTCTTGTCTGCTTTCCTTAATTGGTTTGCAGGGCCGGTGTGCTCTTCTTCCCCACAGCTGTTTCTCTTCAGGCTGGACATGGCTGCGTTTCAGTAGGCAGCAGTGCGATTCCCACTGGTGCTGATCACTGCAGGATGGGCAGAGCCAGGCAGTGCTGCAAACATCAGCTCTCTACTTGTGCCACTGGATGCAGCTCTTGATTTCCCAAGAATACACCACAAGTGCTAATGGGGTCTCCTGGGAGGCCAGGCATGGCATCGGGTTACTGGCTGCACAGTGCATGAAATTCCTTTAGCTCAGGAATGAGAATGAGGTGCTGGAGGGTGGCGAGCTCCTCCTGCTCGCTTCAGAGCCAGGGTTTGCAGCTACTGTGTCTTCCCAGGCAGCGTGCAGGGCTGGCCATCAGACCCAGGGCAGGCAAGACAGATGCAATTTACACATTCCTTACCTGTGACCCCTCATTTCAGGGTTTTTTCCCCACTTTACCACTGGATCACACTTCAGCTGAGGGCAGAAGAACTCCCTAGGTCGCCAGGAGTATATTTGGCAAAGAGGGGTCTCAGCTTGCTCTGAGATAAGCGTGCCAGTAGCCTGCTGCCACGGGCAGCCAAGAACAGCCTCCCTGCTCCTGCTCCTGCTCCTGCTCCTGCCAGTGCACACCTCTCACTTGGGATGGCGATGACAGGGCTCGTGTGACAGAGCTGCTGAAGGGCTGGTCTAAGTGGCCTGGCTGCTCGAGCACTTACCCCATGGTGAAAGGGGTAAGCCCTTGAATCTCAGTCATTCCCCAGCTCTGCCGGGAAGGGCCCGGTGAATCGGGCCATGGGCTGGCACCAGGCCATGACCTCATGATGAAGGACTGCCAGGCTGTCAGAGCAGTGCAGACTCCATCAGTGCAGAGCAAGAGCCAGCAGGTTTGTGCCCAGTGCTGCGGGTGCTGGCTGGGCCGGCCCAGAGGCTGCCCAGGTATCTCAAATGTGCTCCCAGGGCCGAGGCTGCTGGTTAGAGAGCTGTTTAGTCCTGGCATGGCAGTGGCAGCCCCTGGGAGGCACAGTCTGTGGTGGCACAGGGCTCTTCTGCTGATCCTGAGAGTGAGGCTTTTGGAGACAAAGCCTTAGAGAATCACCCTAGTGCCTGTCTCCACCTCTGGGTTGTGCTATAGCTTGCTTAGCCTTGACTTTGGTCTCCCATCCCGTGGGCAGTTCTGCTCTGTGGGGTCTTTCAACACCAGTAGTGTGGCATCAAGGGCTATTAGCTCACAGCCCAAGAGTGGGTATGGGCATGGGGCTGCAGCTCAGGAGGCTGATGGCAAAGCAAATGCCTGCTGCAAGGGCCAAGAACCAATGGCTAGAGGGTGGAAATCACAAATGAGGCATGAGCCCCTCATTACTTTTCACCTGCAAGCCAGAGAGCTGCTAGGTACTCAGACACTCCACAACACTGGGAGAGGCTCTAGCTGCTGTGGGGTGCTTGGGCACACACCTACTGCAGCCCCATGGGCTTTGAGGGAAGCACAGTAGTCCCTCATCCAAGGAAGATATGGTCATGTAAGGGATAATCCTGCCCTGGAATGATGTTTTGGAGGTCAGCTTCAGCTGCCTGCAAAGCTGAACTAAGCAAAGCAAGATGGCAGAAATGTGAGGCACAGGTTCAAGGTGTGATGCGCCCTCCCACAGCTTTTGGCTGAAGGTCATCCCCTCTGGCCAGGCTTGGCTTCCTGGGGAGAATAACCAGCTGCACTGCAGGCAGGAGCAGCTCTGCAGCCCTGATGTTTCCATCCCTTTCCCAAGCTCACGCTTCATTAGTGAAGTAGCTGTTCTTGGTGCCTGGAGAAGAGCCCATGCCAGCAGCACACGTGACGTGGACCATACAGTCTGTGAAGCAGTGACATCCCATGGCCTGGCCCCTCTACTGCTCCATTTCCCTGCCTGCCTCAGTTTCCAGCCATCTGTACTGGTGTCTGACAATGTCAAAGCTAATTCCCCCTGCGATGCAATGCAACGTTTTCCTGTCTACTCCCCACAATCTTGCCCCTTGTTTCCACTGCACTTCCTTGCCCCATTCAACTGCACATTGCAGTTGAAGTATTAAGATACTTCACATTCCTGTTTTCCAAAGTGGGAGCCATGCATAAGCCCTGTGTAGAGGCACAGCCAGGAAGAGGCAGCTACGGCTCAGGTACAAACCTGCAAGGGTGCACAGGGGGTGCTGTGTTCATGTAGGTCCTATGCAACATGTATATCCCATTCCTTTCTTCTCCTCTTCCATGTCTGGGGCTGCAGAGCCCCAGAAAGACCTTCTGCTTGGTATCAGTTTCTGCTTGAGGCTCTTCCAGCTCATTCAGGTCAGGAGCAGAAGTCTGAGGCAGTGGCACTAGAAAAACAAGGTAGACACATGTATTCACCCATTATTCCTTCCCCTTGCATAGAAACACATACGGGCACATCCCAAGCCCATGCCAGCCTGGCCCTGGCTACTTATCTCTCTTGGGTTATCAGTATCTGCCTCCTGGATTGCTCTCTGGGAGAGGAGAAAGGGATGGGACTGGAAGAAGGTTTCACTGCCAGGGAATATAACCCCCCAGCCAGCCCCCCTCAGAGCCAGCTTTATCATTGCTGGGACCATTAATGAAATGTTTTTGGCAGTGACCCTGTGATGCGGCGGGGGCTTGAAAGTGAGAGGGAAATGTCAAACTCCGCTGTAGCAAAATCACCGCCTTGGAAAAAAAAAAGAAAAGAAAAAAAGCAAAGCAAAGCAAGAAGTAATATATCTTGATCCCTTTTCCCCCATAAAACCCTGGGAGGCTGGTGGAAGGAGCGGAAAGACTGAGCTAAGCCTGCAGGAAATTAAACATGAAATGAAAACAAGCTCAAGTTATTCAATTCTCTCATCCTAGGCTCCAATTTCCCATTCCAGGCCACTGATAAAATGGTGTCCAGTTTCAGCACTCAAGGATGAATTCTGGCTCTGTTCTTGTAGTCTGAAAAGCAAAGGGCTGGTGGCCATCTCTGGCAAGAGGGGAGATGGCCTGGCCTTTGATGGAGGGATGGGATTCCGAACACAGACAGATGGAGGCTGAGCAGAGAGAGGGTAGCAGGGTGAGAGGACAGTAATGGGGAGAATGGATGCTGTGAGGCTGCCAAAAGAGAGCAAAAACACAAGAGACTTGAACGTGGTGGGTAGGTCTTACCTGCAGTGAGGGGTGCTGAGCACCAGGCATGAGCACAACCCCACAGCTGCCACCAGCCCACCACCACATGTGCAGATGTCAGCCTCACCCACCACTGCCATGGTGGGGGTAGGAGAGAGGGGAAAACACCTTTTTCTTTAACTTGGAGGAATGACAAATCAGTGATGCAGCCCCCAACTATCCAGAAATGGTCAGTGGCCTAGGTTAAGTCCCAACAGGGCCCATCCACCTGTGCCCTGTGCAGGACACATGGGGCTTGGTGGCAGGGCCAGAGTGGCATTGCCCACTGGGTGCAAGGGAAGAAGCAGCAAGAGAGTGAGCAGGAGCCTCCTTGCTTTTTCTCAGGCCACTTCTGGCCTCTCCAGCCCCAACAACACATCAGCTGTGCTTGCATATGGATTTAGGTACCAGCATATGGCTGAATGTTGATGGAGACATGAAACATTCTCTGTTCCTTCGATTTTTACAGGGCTGATTTGGTACATCAGGGCTTACCAAAGCATTGTCTGCAGGAGTCAGATACATGACATTACCATACACTCCTACTGTAATTGTTAACACTGAGATTCAGCCCACAGCGACTCCTGGCCCCTGCACAAAGTAGCCCATCCTGACTCCAGAGGAATGCTGCACTAGCCACTGCAGCCTCCAATGTCACATTCCCATCCCACAACAGTCGCTCTTGACAAGGAGTGACAGGCAATGAAAGGAAAATGAACTTCTGTTTGGGTTTAGATTTGCTTTTTAAAAGCAGGTGTCTTCTAAGACTGTGGAAATACTAAGGATTAGTTGGGGTTTTTTGCTGACATTTTCACATTATACATTGACATGCCTGTCTTGTTTTCCCCGGAGCACTGTGGAGGTCTGGAGAAACCCAACTGCAAGATACTAAGAAGCCTATAAGGATTTCGACCAGAGGAGAAAGGAGAACTTTAAAAAGCAGTCCAAACCTTGCCACAAGTGCTTGAGAGCTCCCTGTCAGCTCCCTATGTGACACCAACACTTGGACTGAAGACACTCTTCTTCTTCAGCCTAAAGCGATGACTTGCCATATCCTCCCAGCCCACTAGCCACATGGCAATTTGGGAACTGCCAGTTTAAATCACTCTGCTCTGTTCAATCCTATGCATAAATGTGTTAGAGCAGAGGCTGAGACCTCACTCTGCTCTGTCAAGGCAGCTGTTGTGCTGTCCTGGGAAAAAGAGGGCACAAACCCTGCACTGATGGCTTGGAAGGTCACACTGCAGAGCCACACACTGCTCCCAAGTCCCAGGTGGGATGCTCAGGCAGGCAAGGAAACCTTCAGCACACAGGGAATGGCCACGTATGCCTGGCATATGTTCATCCCAGCCTCATGCAGAGCCAGCACTCTGCTCCCTACCTGTTCTCCACCCCGCTGTGCACAGCGGGGCCTCCTCCGCCCGAGGAGGAACCAGGTCACCACTGCTAACTTTGAATCTGCAGATCAAAGCAGTGTGATCCAGGCCAGCCCTGGGACTGGCCTGCAGCTGGGCTGGAGTGGCTGTGCCAAGAAGAGGTAGAAGAAAAACAGACAGATGCCTGAGGCATCAAACCTGCTCCAGTAGGACACTCTGCATGTGCAGCGTGTGCACAGCTGGGATAACGTTAGGATGCTTCTCCTGATGCTTTTTACTCCTACTGAAAACTCTCACAGGGTTTTTGATTTGGGATAGGGCATTGATAGCAGGTCACTGCTTTGTCCAGCTTATGGATGTCCCACACCAGTGGCATTGCCATGGCCATGGGGCCGGGCACTAAGCCCTATGCTATCCACAGCCCACATGTGGAGCACATGCCTGGCAGCTGCATCATCGGCTCCCTGTCCCAACACAGAACACAGACCCTCAGCTGCCCACTCATACCACAGCCCTGGCTGCGAGAGACCAGCACGAGGCTGCCTGTGTGGTGGAAGGCAGAAACTAAAGCAGGAGAGCCTGAAACAACTCTTCCAGCACAAGCAGGAAGGTCAGCTCAGACCAGAAGCCTAAACCTCTTATCCCTCCCTGTGGCAGCTTCTGGCTGCATTGATTCAGGCTGCAGGTGCCACAGCTCTCCTGCTTCTGCAAAAATTGTCCTGCCACCCCACCCTGTGCCAAGCAGCTGGCTTTTCCTGCTATCCTCCGAAGACACGAGCTTCCTACCTGGCGTCTGCTTTCCCCAGGTGCCTGGCAGGCAGCAAAGCTGCCCCACGGCCAGGCGTGGGAAGGGCCAAGCTGCTTGTCAGCAATACCCCCTCTGGTCCCCCGCAGCGAGTCACCGTGTAAAACTCGAAGCAGAGCTGAGAGGCTCTAGCAGTGCTCCTTTCATGCACTGGCGTGACCTGCACAACCCAGCCCCTGGTGATCGCCCTCATCTCTCAGTGCCTTCAAAGCAGCTCTTGATTGATGTGTTACCCTGACTCACGAGCTTCAAGAGGCTTTGAAGACACTGGGCCAGGCTCTGATCTCTCTTAGGTTGATGCAAATCAGGAGCAGTGGTGCTGACAACAGTGCAATAATCCACACTGATGTCAAGCCAGTAAAAATAAGAGCAGAAACAGAGTTTTGGTCTTTGCCTTGAAGGGATCTGAGCAGCCCTGTGAAGCAAAGAGTAGCAAACCCTGCAAAGAAAACTCAGTGTAAACCAAAGGATGCTATAGAAGGGCACCTGTCCTTTCCTGCAGCTAAGGAGGGAAGGAGTGCTCAGCTTTGTATTTCTTGTTGCGGTTAAGAAAAATGAGAGAGTTGGTGAGAAATGCAAGCCGCAGACAACGGCATCACCATAGCCAGGATCAGTCTTAGGGAAAGCCCCATCACTGCAGTTTTCAGCCTGGCAGCAGCACACACGGAATACATTCACACTTCTCGTCTGAGACTGGCTGACAGCAGGGGAGCCGCAGGCAGAGCCTGGGTAACACAGATTTAGGGGTGAGAGGAAGATGGGCTATCCCAGGGCAAATCAGGCTGTGGGAGGCAAGAGCTGGGAATGACGCCAGAGGGGTTGTGCACCAGAAGATGGGCAACCCCTTTTGCTTGGAGTGCTCCCTTTCTAGGAGCACAGGCTGGCCCCAGACCCTCAGGAGAAGCAGGGAAGGACTGTCCCTCTCCTGCAGAGCACCTGTGTGGAGCAGTGCCCTTCTGTGTGCCATACAAAACCACCCACCTGGTGAGGCCCTGCCCTCTGGTGGGCTCTTCAGGGCTGCCGGGCTACCAGCCACTGCCGGGCTCCGCTTGCTCACAGCCCTGCTGTCGCCTCTCCCCAGGTGTGGTTTCAGAACCGGCGAGCAAAGTGGCGCAAGCGGGAGCGGTTCGGTCAGATGCAGCAGGTCCGGACCCACTTCTCCACCGCCTATGAGCTGCCTCTGCTCACCCGTGCTGAGAACTACGCCCAGGTGAGTGCATTCCCCTGCCTGGGCACAGTGCTTGCTGGACACGCTGCTTCTGCTCCCAGTCCTCCCCAAGCCGTGCTTCACTTCTCAGGTACATCCACCTGCCCTTAGGCAAGGCTGCAAGGACGCTGGGGCTATACTGTCTGGCACTGAAGGGCTGGCAGTTTTCAGTCAGGTGTCCTGCTTGTCTCCCTCATGCCCTGGCCCAGAGGACGTCTTTAAAACAGGTACCAAGCCCAGCACTGTGTGACACAGAGCAGCACCCTTGGGCAGAGGTCATCCTGCTCAGCACTATCACATGTGCTGCTGCCCACTAACTTTCCACTGGTTTGAAAAAGATCCAAAAGACTAATTCATGCCTGAAGAATAGCAGATCCCAGGCTTCCTGTTACCATGTCTGGTTTCCATGCCCCTTGGACATGGTGGTTGGATAAAAGCACTTTTCCCCTGGCAAATTCCCATAGCCAGTGATGGGCTGTGGTACACACAGCACACTTGGTGACATCTGGGGATGCTTCCCAAGAGAGTTGTAGATTTATGCTCCAAGGGAAGGGAGGGAGCAGCCTTGTTGGGGTACCTAAGGCTGCTTTTGTGTCCTATTGAAACCGTTCCTTCCCTGACCCTGGAAGCAAGTCACAGGGCTGCATCCCCTCCTTAGCTTCCTGTCTTGGAAAACCTGTCAGCACAATAGCCTCCTAAACATTGGGTCAGCCCCAGTTTCACAACACTTCAGATTATGCCAGGCAGACTGAGGTTTGCTAGCTCCAGGGCTAGGCTATGCCCCAGAAAGCACTCCCTCTATCCTCCACTCCTCTTCCCACCACCCAGAATTGGCTCGAGGGCGCAATTCTGCAGGCATGATGCTCTGAACCTGACTGTCCTCACAGATCTGCTGGAAGTCCTCCCTCCCTGGTACCCTGTCCGTCTCCACAGCTGCCTCCCCAGCCAGCGCTGTACCAAAGCTACCCCGCAGCCAAGCTGGGAGTGTTTGACCTCTCTCCTGCTTGGCGTCTCCCATAAACTGAACAAGAAACCCTTTTGAAACAGCTGAGATGCCAAAGCAGCTTTTCAAGCAGAGAACACTCTCAGCAGCCTTTTCAGCATGTCCTTCTCTTGCCTTTGTAACTTACACTGCTCTCTCCCTCAATACTGCCCTCCTCTCCCAGCACAAAAGATCAAAAATTTGAAAAGCAATTTGCAGGAGGTAAGAGATCAGGGAGGGCCCAAGGGTGAGCAGTGCAAAGGGGCAGTGGGATGAAGGGCCCTTTGCTCTCTTGCTCCAGCCAGCTGCTCACGTCCTCCCTGCTTTCATCCTGCATGTCCACGTCCCCTGCTGCAGCACACCTATTCCCACTGCCAAATACTGAGCCCTCCTCTCTTCTTCTACAATGTCATTTTATGAATGACACGGCAGGGTCCCAGATGGTCTCTCGAGGTGGCCCTGCAGGGCTCTGCTCTGCAGCAAGGTGGGTGATGCTGCCTCGATGGGCACTGCTGGTTCAGAAGGGCAATGAAGCCGCCTGTGCTGGGGGCTGTGGGCAGTTCAGCTCCGGCAGGCACGTCTGTGTGGTACAATATTGCCCTTGCTAGGGAAAGATGCCCTGAGCTGGAGAAGGAAGGTGGATGAGCAGCCTCACAGCACTGCTTTCTGCCTGATCCCTCTGTAATGAGTAGGACAACAGAAACACCATGGATGACACAAAGTTTCCTGCGCTGAGAAAACTGCTCATAGTATTAAAAAAGTAAGAGAAGTGTCTGGGAGAGGAATAAATAAACAGATGCTGTGGCAGAGAAGGAGCACAATCCTGCTCCCTGTGAGTAATCCTGCTGCACTCCCTGCCCCTGTCCAGGCTGGCATGCAGGTTTTGGAGTGGATTTGCAGCCTGCAGCAGGGCAGGGGCCAGCAGACTGCACGTCCCTCCACTAGGCTGCCCTGCCAGGCCGGGGCTGGACACGCTCCATTCCCCCAGGTATCCTTCATGGGACAACCCTGACGCTTCTTTTCCCACCCCCAGATCCAGAACCCCTCGTGGATTGGTAACAACGGAGCCGCCTCCCCGGTGCCAGCCTGCGTCGTGCCCTGCGAGTCGGTGCCGTCCTGCATGTCCCCCCATGCTCACCCCCACGCTGCCGGCGGTGTCTCCGAGTTCCTCGGGGTCTCGGGGCCCGGCAGCCACGTGGGACAGACTCACATGGGCGGCCTCTTCGGCACGGCCGGCATGAGCCCCAGCCTCAATGGCTACGAGCTGAACAGCGAGCCGGACCGCAAGACCTCCAGCATCGCTGCCCTGAGGATGAAGGCGAAGGAGCACAGCGCCGCCATCTCCTGGGCCACATGACAGGGCTGCGGCCCAGTGCCCGCCAGACACGCGGGGACAGCCCGCAACACCCATCCGCTTGGACTCCGGACAGCCTCCTCGGGGATGTGAATGCAGCACTTTTAGCTACCCTAGGCATATAAAGTACATATGTTAATGTAAGTGGAGTGTTTCCAGCATGAACGTGGCAGCTCCCGGCTTCCTGGCATCGGGCAGGGAGAGGGAGGCTGTGGAGCAGCACCTCTTCCATCAAGATCTGGAATGGGATGCATCCCTTCTCACTGCCACCTCCCCAATAACCTGGGCATTTTTTCTTCCCGCTATTTTTTCTGACACCAGACCTGCCTTTCCAGAGGGCAAGAGCCCACTGGCCTTTCAGCAGCTTCTCCCATGCCACCACCCACCCATCCACACATATTCTGCCCTGGGCAGGGGTCTGGATGGGGACTCTGGCACCAGCAAAGAGACTCTCACACTGCCAACATCATTTTAGCAGGACCTACAACTTCCCACAGCTGCATGGGGAACAGGGCTGGGAAGATAACTAAAGCTAGAAAAAAGGCAACATTAGCCCACCTCCTTCTACCCCGCTCCCTGTCCATCTTGTACTCTGAGATGAAGCACGGAGTTGTAGAGGCCTGTGAAGGGGCTGCCCCTCTGCCCACCATGGCACAGTGTTATCACACTGAGAGTCTTGGCCAACCCTTTGGTGACCCAGATGGAGATACACCCCAGCAAACAAAAGCTTCCCAGCATGGCTCAATACCCCAGGGAGTGCCTGGACTTTGCTTTCCCTGGTCGTGGTCTATGTTGAGGCTCACAAGCGTGATGGTACAGGAAGAGATTTCCTCTGTCTTTCACTGGGTTGGGAATTATTAATTTCAATTTACAGACAGCAGCTCTGGCAGGGAAGCACAATTGCTATGTAAATTTGCAAGTCCCCAAAAAGACTGCTCTAAGAAAGAGCTCAAGCGCTAGCACACAGCCACAGTGGCACAAGTTCACCAAATTCCTCATACACCTCATCCTGGAGTCAGAGGTGCCATAAAAGGCACATTCCTCATACACCTCAGCCCTCCACTCCAGTGCCCTGTTGCACACAATGGCTGTGGGCATCTCTGCACCAGGGACAGCAAAGGGAACAGGCCGGGAAGGGGCTCAAGGGAGGACAGGTGATGCTGCCCCATCTCCAGCCACCTCAGATCCTTTTCACTTTGCAGAGGAAGTAAAAGAGACCAGAACTTCTCTGGTTTGTGTGAGCCAACATGCCTCTCCGCTTTTCCCTCTCAGTGCTCTTACCTTCACAGAGCTGTTAAGTAAGATCTTCTTTGCAAGGCTAAACATTTTACAAGTTGTTCAATGATCATAGTGCGTGGAATAATTTTGGAACATCCTTTTACCCCACTGAAATACTGCCAAGGAGAAGCTGAAAGTCAGCTGTGCACTACCACTCACACAGTGTGGCTCTGCAAGCTGGCTTGAGCTGGAGTAGACATCTCCAAGATTTGCAAGGGAATTATAGGATACTACTCTCACAAAAAGTGGTTTGTCACTCTGCCCTCTTTCCTCATGCTCAGTGTTAGGGGATCTTGGAGTTTAAGGTCCAGGAATATCTAGTGGTCTTGGAAAAAGTTCCAAATAAGCTACAACCAAATGTCAGGCTTCAGGTTAATGAGCCATACAAGTATTTCCATAGTGCCTAGACTGTCAATACACTACCTTAATGATACACTATTGCTAGGTCAAAAGTAATATATTTACTGGAATAAGAAAACACCAGTAGTACTGCTTTTTTTCTCTCCTCAGAAAAGCTCAGAGATACCTTTCCTGCTCTGCACAGGGAGCCAGCATACGTTTCACCACACTATCTGCATAACCAGGGCCTCTCCCATCACAAGCAGCCAGGATTTACATCCCAGCCTAAACATTCAGCTGTGGCCTCGGGCATGGTGTCTTAGATGCTGAAAGTGTTGCTGATCATTGAACCAGGCAGGATCATACTGACCTTTTGGAGGCATATACATCCTCACTGGGTACCCCAGAAAGTCACTGAGCTTCCCAACCACCCAGGGACTAGTGGCAGGAGACAATTTGTCCATCAGATTTGTGCAGGCAGCTGAGCACAGCGTTGAGAGCCCTTTCCCAGGTACGCTGGGGATCTTGATGCTTCCCACTGTCAGCAGGCAATCAGTGGAGGGCTGCTGCCTGAACAGTCCAGTACCCTTGCTGACAAGGCAAATTAGCAACAAGCAGAGCTAAGGAGAGGGCAGTGGGGCAGGCAGGCATATGGGGACAGGTCTCACTTAGCCTGCAAGTTCTGAAGGCAGCTCCAGTGGAGGGCTGTATCTATTCAAGAGCTTAGCTGCATTCCCTACTGAAGTTAAAGGGTAGCTTTTCCTCACAGACTTCCACAGGGCCAGTATTTCATCTGAGCTGTTTAACAGCCCAGAGGATTAAGTGCCGTATCCTTGTCTTGTTAGAGAGAGAGAGGAGAGTCTCCTGGCAGCAGACTTGGCATTTAGAGAAGCTTGGCCCCCACTTTCTCTCACCTTAAAATTCATCTGGAAAGCACATGTTGGACTCAGTCTAATTTAGACACCACTGCGCGTGCCCAGCCCTCAGCCTGCCTGAAAACACCACGAGGCAAGGGGAATGTTGTTCCCTGGACCCCCTTCTGCAGGGCTCCCTTCCCACCTCCAGCTGCAGGCAGCCCCACTGCTCATCGGGCTCTGCTCACCTCTCTGGGTGCTGCTGCCATTCTGGCACAGTCCCTTGCACCCACACTTCTGGGTAATGCTGGAAGGTGTGCCCCTCCCAAATCTTCAAAAGCAGTTGTTCTGGTAGTTTTTAAGCTACATGCATCTGTACTTACACATGTTTTAAAAATTAATTTAAAAGGGTTTTTAAAACTAGCTGTAAAATTAACATTAAAAACTGTATAAATATATATATATACTTGTATATATATATGTGTATATATATATATGTATCTTAACCTAGCCAGCCTGCAGCTACTGCATTTCTTAAGGGTCACAGGGTCAGTGCTGTTCTTGCAATCTCACGTTCTCATGATGATACCTTTTTTAATTATTATTATTGTTGTTATTTTAATACCTTTCAATTCTATTTATGACTTTCTGCTCTATTTATTTCTTATTTAGTATTTTACTCCTGTCTATACATTGAATCACAATTCCCTGGCTTGGACTTGCCTTCAAAGCTGCAAGCTTTGTCCCCATCCACCACCAAAATGTCTCAGAAGTGTCAGCCATCCCAACCCTGCCATGCCCATGGTGGCATCCTCTGTGGGTGCAGTCCAGGCAACTGGGCTCACCCAGAAGTTCCCTCCAGCCTCACCGAGGTAGCAAAATGTTTCTCCCAGGCAAGTCCTGGCTATGCAGCAGGTATCCTACAAGGTTGCCCATGGCTAGGAACTCCAGAGATGTCCCAGAGCTTTGAGACCAGGAGGATGCAAATAGCAAGAGCGGCGTGGGTTCCTGGCACTGGCTTAAAAGTGGTTGGGTACCACTCGCTGCCAAGTACTCGGAGGCATTTCTTGCCAACAAGCAGTAGTTAGAGCTTTGGTAGCAATTGCAAACCATTGGGGAACCAGGCTTGGGCTTGCTGGGCCCTGCGGGGTCCAGACTCTAAGGGCTGCTGTGCCTCAACAAGCTCCTGGAGAGGGGCCAGGTCAGCCCCCTGGCACGTCACCTACTGCCAGCAGTGCCACCCACCTGCATTCCCATCAGGCTCTCCAGCCAGGCTCCAGCTGCCTCCTCCAGAATATCCTACCCAGTTCAGTTCCCACTGCCCCAGCACCCACCTGGGTAGAGCCTACAGGGAGGAAGACCAAGATAGCAAAATAAAAAGAGAACCACTCTCCCTTTCCTCTAAAGCCTGTGGCAGAGTGTGAGGGAGCATCCATCCCTGCTGGGATGTGCATCCCTGCCAGATGGCGTGTCCTTGCAGGACCATGCCTGGCCTGAGCCATCAGCATGGGCAGGGTGTCGGGGAAAGGCCACAGGCAGTGACAGTGTGTCACAGGTGAGGTCACAGAGCTGCAGCACACATGGCTTCACCTGCCCCATCAGCATCACCAGCCAGGAGTACCCCGTGTGCTGCCAGCAGGGCTGCCTGCTGGTTTCCTCCTGCAGTGGAGGTGTTTTGGGGTGGGGAGGCGCATCCCCCTGATTCCCAGAGTACACTCAGACTGGGCAGCACATTGTAAAACACTCTCCAAACAAACTAAAGCAAAAAGGTAGTTTTTTGGAAAAGGATTGAAAAATAATCAAGCAGAGGCAGAGCCCCGTGTTTATTTTGCTGCTCTGACTGACACAGCAAAAAGCAAACAGACCGAGGGAGAAATTAAACCCAAATGGGAAGCGGGTGGAATAAGATGGAAAGTCATTCAGCCCTTTGCAGTTTCCCAAAGGGAGCTGGGAGGAGGCGAGGGAGAGGCCTTACACCCCCTTAACTCTTTGCTGGTTACTTGGTTCTCCACTCCCCCCACATAGCTAGGTAGGTAGGTAGAGCTAGGACTTTTATACTACTGATTTTGAAGGACAGTTTTCAATGTATAATAATATATCGGTTTAGGTGTGCAGTGCTTGAAAGAGAGACTGGGAGAAAGGAAGAAAACAAACCTCAATCAATATTATTGGTTTTTTGTTGTAAAATATTGTAACCTTGTATAAATGCTACCTTTTTTTTTTTTTCTCTTTAGCTTCACGGCCTGGGGTAGAACATATAAAAAAACAAAAAAGATTTTAAAATGTTCAGGAAAAAAAAGAATAAAAAAAATCATTTAAAATGTTGCCACATGAGGTTTGTGCCATGCAATGTTATTGCCTATGCAACCATGTATTACCAGTTCATTACAGTGGAATATTAAAAAAGAACAAACAGTCTTGCAGCTTGATTATTTTTAACTTTTTTGAAGTAAGTTATTGCACTTGCAGCTTTTTTTTTTTTTTTTTGGAGGTGAAGGGCTGGGATTTCCACTCACCAATTTTTATTTTTCC